ATCCCCCGGGGAGGAAAGCGCCGGGGTCGGGGGGGGGGTTCCTTGTCCATCAGGCGTGGCAGAAGGTGTTGGAGCACGCGTGATGGGGAGAGGGGATGCAAACAGGCGGCGGTGCGGAGGCCATAGGGCAGTTTGGGCGTGGGAGATAAGATTACAGCTAACAAAGCAAAGCCTTCAAAGCCTAATCCCTTTGGGAAAGGCGGGAGGCTGATATGCAAAGCAGAGGCGGTTCCCCGGGGACCACGGGGATGTGGATGCCCGTTTGGAGATGCAGGCGGGGTGATGGGAAGCCACCAGGTAGCCGTGTCTGCCCCAACTGCGGGGTCTGGGGGAAGGCATCTCCGTTTCCAAGGCTGCTAGCTGGTGTGTGGAGGTAGATCATAGAATGGCTTAGGTTGGAAGGAACCTTTGAAGGTCATCTATTTCCACCCCCCCTGCCCTGGGCAGGGACACCTCCCACCAGCCCAGGTTGCCCCAAGCCCCATCCAACCTGGCCTTGAACACCTCCAGGGATGGGGCAGCCACAGCTTCTCTGGGCAACCTGTTCCAGATGATCCCTCCCCAGGTGGGTGCAGCTGGTGGGACTTGCTGGTGGCTTTTCAGTGCCGAAAGACCACCAAGGCTGCAGCTCCTGAAACCCTCCCAGCGACTGCGCTCGAAATCCTGAGCAACCGGGAGGCAATCTAAATGGCAAGAGCCGTTTAGATGTGGTGTTGGGGGATATGGTGTAGGGGAGAACTTTGTAGAGTAGGGTAGATGGTTGGACTCGATGATCCCAAGGGTCTCTTCCAACCGAGACAATTCTATGATTCTATGATTCAATGCACCATGGAGGCGCACGGAGCTGAAGACGTTGCCAGCCCCAGGAGCAGGCTCTTGTCTTCAGGAAAAGGCAAATTTGGGCGGAAAGGTTGCACACAGGCTTTGTGTCCTTTCCAGGGCTGTGTGCATGGTTGGACTTGAGCCTGTCGCACCCGTGCAGCAGGAGAGGGACGCGGGTGCTTTCTGCTCTGAAAAACTCATCCAGTTCCTTTAAACCGCAGTCGGTGTCGCCATCCCCTCCCGCGCTGCTCTCACCGGTTACAGACCCGGTGCCCTACTGGTGGTACTGGAGCCCGTCCCTGCTCATGGTGGCTGTACGTAGGCAGGGAGGAGCGGGGGCTGAGCACGAAACCCGGCGCGGCGGTTTGGCCTCTTTGCTTTGGCTCCAGGCTACGGCTTGTGACTCCCATCCCAAAAGTGTTTTTAGGCAGAAATCCACCGAGCTGGAGAGCTCTGGAGAGGATTTGGCCCCACTAGCCCTGACTAAGCAGGTTTGCTTGGGCTCAGTGCCTCTGGGTGGATGTGGACGTGGCTTGGGGGGGAGAGGGGGCTGGTGGTGGCCCCAGGACTGTGGCTGGTGGCCCCGGGCCTGGCTGCATCCACCTCCGAGGATGGTGCTCAGAATGGGAATGCCCATCAGCTGCCAGGTCATGGCCACAGCGACGTCCCTTCGGTGCAGGGGCAGGTCACCCCTGCTGGCAGAGCCAGGGGATGGTTTTTTGGGAGCCAGGGAAGGGCTCTGCTGCCTCAGGGCTTTTCTGAGCCTCCTCTCCCCGCAAGCCTCGCCGCCCCAATGGGCCGTGAAGATTTACGGACAAAAAAAAACCGGTGCCACGGTCCTTCAACATGCCGCGAGCTGCAGATTCATAGGTGGTGTGGCAGCCTCTGCTGATGGATTGAATAACCCGGCTGTCACCTCTGGGGGGAAAAATACTGCAGCCCTTTTCCCTGTGAAATATCATCAGTTGGTTTTCGCTCGGTGCTTAATGGTGATGGAGATGGAGAGTCCTGAGCTGAAGCTCGTGGCCGCCTCAGCTCAGTCCAGCCCTCCTTTATGGCCTTCACGCTTGAGTAGCTGAAGGAAAACCTGGATTTGACCCCAAAATGCCAGAGGGGAGATGTGTGCCAGGGATTTAGAAGTCATCAAAGCTCAACCAGGGGAGCGGGAGCCCCTCTCAGTTGGGTTACCTGGGGGTTGGGGTCCCCCCCGGCACCCCCCACCTCCATCTAACTCTGCCCTCGCAGGGATGGACCTCTCGGCCAACCAAGATGAGGAGGGGGACCAGGAGACCTACCAGCTGGAGATCAACAAGGACACCAAGAAATGCGCCTTCAGGACCTACACTGGGAAGTACTGGACCCTCACTTCCAACGGGGGCATCCAGTCCACCGCCTCCACAAAGTGAGTCCCCCGTCTCGGGTGACTCGGGGCCATGCCTCGGCTTCGGGGACCCCTCTGCATCTCCCTGGGGAATCCAGAGGGGATTTTCCAGAACAGGCGCTTGTCCCGAAACTCTTCCCAGTGAAGGCAGTGAATTCCCCGGAGCTGGGGCTGTGTCGGGGCTTGCTGCCCGTGATGCTCGGGAAGTCCCTCGGGCCACGTAATCCTTCCCGGCCAGCTGGGGCTGCGGAAACGCTTTTCCCTGCAGTTCAGCCCTCCACTAGCTGAGAGACCAGCAGAAACCCCAAAAGTGCCTTTAGCTGCCTCCTGCCTGCGGGGCGAAGGCTTCCTATTGGGATGGCCACCACGACGTGGCTCATCCCGCAAATATGGATCGAATCGGGGTTTCCCGATCCAGCCGTGACCCTTTCGGAGGCAGCGGGGTGGCACTGGCAGCGTCCCCGTCCGTTGCATCCTGCTGACCGCCCTCTCTGCCCCCGCAGGAACGCGAGCTGCTATTTCGACATTGAGTGGTGCGACAAGCGCATCACCCTGAAAGCTGCCAACGGCAAGTACGTGACGGCGAAGAAGAACGGGCAGCTGGCGGCCTCCATGGAGACGGCGGGTAAGGGACCCCCGTAGGGACCCCCACCCCACGCTGGGGCGGCAGAGGACGGATAAAGTCCCCCCTTTCCCCCGAGCCGGGCTCCTCCTCCAAGCGATGCTCAGGGATGCGGGCGATAAGTTTCCTTAACGACCGTTTCAGGTGCTGTGAGATGAGGGGACGGATGGGGTGGGTGAGAAACGGGTGAGGGGCACAGACCGCCCTCCTCACTGCTGCCAGCAGCCGAGGGGGTCCGGGCTCTGCACACACCACCCCCGGCCACTCTCACGGCCCCTTCTCCTCTCCGGCGCAGGCGAGACAGAGCATGTCGTGATGAA